TGGTGACGCTGCGGAAGCCCCTCGTGGAGAGAGGACTTGGGGATGGGAGCTGGGAAGGCGGAGTAGCGGCGAGGTCTGCAGGAGAGTGGACTGGGCGCCGGCGTGGACGGGACCGAGGCCAGGTCAGCTCAACCCGACCACAGCTCGTGTCTGCCTCTGTCTGTGGACACAGGCGAGACTCATCTGTTTCTTTCCCTGAATCAGGGCTGCGATCAGGCTCTTGCCCGCCCTGGGTCAGCCCTCATCAGTCCGGGGGGCTCCCCTTCAGGGCCGCGGAGGCCCGGGCAGCGTCTGTGGGTGCATGTGGCACTGGGAGCCCCGTCCAGAACTGGGGAGCACGGCCCAGACCTGCGGTGCCCCGTCCACACGGGGGAGCCCCGTCCTAACCCGGTGTCGGTGGTGGTGGAGCCTGGAAGCCCCCATGGCTGCCCGGACCTCTCCCGGGACTCCAGGCGGGAGACTTCTGGTCTCGTGAGCTCAGCAGAAGCTCCGACACCCCAGCCTTGCCCCAGCCCGGCCTCACCCTCATTCGCAGCTGGGGGCCCGAGCCACCCTGTGCAAGGCGAATATTGCCAGGGAGCGACCTCCCCTTGGGCTGACTGTACGACCCAGTGTGTCGCCCCCAGGTCCTCCCATTCTCAGCCCTGGCCTGCCCCTCCGTCACAGCGGCCCCGTCTCTGCCCATGGGGAGACGCTGCGCCTGGCCGAGTCCTGTCTGCGGCGCGGTCAACTCTGGTCACCGGCAGCCCACGCTGCCGCCTGGAGCCTGCGCGGGGCCGGTGCTCGGGGTCGGGAACTGGCGTCTCTGAGGCGAAGGCCGAGACCCCGGACGCCTGCGACCGCAGCCCGTGGGCCCCGTGACTGGTGTCCCCGTGCCAGGCAGGGGTCAGAGTGGCTGGGGGGTCTGCGGGGCTCGTCAGGGTGTGGGGCTCTGGATTCCGGGGTTCCCGGATTCCGGGGTTCCCGGGTTCCGGGTCGCGTTGCAGTCTGTGAAGACGGAACCCCCGCGGGGACCCGCAGCCGACGTCAGGCTGAGGTGACCCCGACAACGCGCTGCTGAATGAGCTCAGCGGATGCTGCTGTGCAGAGACACCGCCGGCAGGTGTCGGAAACACATTTCTGTATTTCGGGGGCCGCTGGGACGCACCCTGTCTGCTGGCTCTGCCACGTATAACCCGGGTTGGGGCGATCGCCCTGCACGCCACGGGCGGGATGGGGTGAGGGCGCACGTCCTGCTGTGTGTGGACAGCCGAGTCTCCCA